GAGAAAAAGGGCACTGGAAGAAAGACTGCCCAAAGTTGAAAAGCAAAGCCAAACCAAATAATGGGAAGGCTGTCATGGATTCAAATGTGGCTGATTGTGATGACTCTGAATACTCACTAGTTACAACAGATCCATCCAAATCATCTAATGTATGGTTGATGGACTCAGCTTGTAGCTATCATATGTGTCCCAATAAGGACTGGTTTGTTGATTTACAAGAAGGAGAATGTGGAGTTATTCACACCGCAAACAATAATCCTCTTACTGCATATGGTGTTGGTTCAATTCGATTAAGGAATCATGATGGATTGACCAGAACATTAACAGATGTTCGGTATGTACCGGATTTGAAGAAAAATATTATTTATGTTGGAGCCTTAGAGTCAAAGGGATTCAAAGTCATTGCAGATAATGGTGTAATGAGAATATGCTCCGGTGCGCTGGTGGTAATGAAGGCAATTCGAAGAAATAATAACATGTACCACTATAAAGGTAGTACAGTTATTGGGACAGCATCAACAACATCCAATGACGACAAGGAGGCAGAAATGACTAGGCTATGGCATATGAGCTTGGGACATGCTGGAGGAAAATCCTTGAAAACTTTATCAGATCAAGGATTGCTAAAAGGAGTAAAAACTTGCAACTTGGAGTTTTGTGAGTATTGCGTCAAGGGAAAGCAAACAAGGGTTAAATTTGGAACAGCTATCCATAATACTAAAGGTATTTTGGATTATGTTCATTCAGATGTTTGGGGTGCTTCCAAAACACCTTTGTTGATAACTTTTCCTGAAGACTGTGGGTGTATACGATGAAAACAAAAGATGAAGTATTGGGAATTTTTCTCAAATGGAAGGCGATGATAGAAACTCAAAGTGGCAAAAAGATCAAGTGTCTTCGCATAGACAATGGTGGAGAATACAAAAATGATCTTTTTCAGAAAAATTGTGAGGAAAATGGCATCGTCAGACATTTCACCGTCAGAAATACACCACAACAGAATGGAGTGGCATAATGCATGAACCGAACTTTGCTGGAGAAGGTTCGGTGTATGTTGTCCAATGCTGGCTTGGGCAAAGAATTTTGGGCTAAGGCAATAACATATGCATGCCACCTCATTAACCGTCTACCATCTACAGCTATAGGTGGGAAGACGCCATTAGAAAAATGGTATGGAAAAACTGCTGAAGATTATGGTTCTTTATATGTGTTTGGCTCAATTGCATATTATCATGTCAGAGAGTCAAAATTGGACCCAAGAGCAAAGAAAGCTTTATTTGTGGGAATTACTTCTGGAGTCAAGGGATATCGTTTATTGTGTCCAGAGACAAGAAAAATTATTTTCAGCAGGGATGTTACCTTTGATGAATCTGCCTTGACAAATAAAGTGACAGTTGATGAAGTCAAACAAACTGATGGTGCTTCAAAGCAGGTGGAGTTTGAGGGAAAGATAATTTTCCCAACACATGGATCAAATGAGGAAACAACAGAAGTTTTCCTCTGGAAGAAGAGCCAGTCGAAGGGGAGGTTCCATCTCAAGAACCTCAACCACCACTTGAATCAATAGCAACCAGCAAGCCAAAAAAGACAATAAGAAAACCTGCTCGACTCATAGATGTGGTGGCTTGTGCGGACTCAATTGCAACGGATGACATTCCTACCACTTATAAAGATGCAGTCCAAAGTTAAGAAGAAGATAAGTGGAGTTTTTCCATGGACGAAGAAATGCATTCCCTTCATCAGAATCATACATGGAAATTGGCCAATCTCCCGGATAGCAAGTAAGCAATTGGGTGCAAATGGGTATTTCCAAAGAAAGAAGGATTTACTAACCAAGAAGATGTTCGCTACAAAGCAAGATTGGTGGCCAAAGGATACGCTCAAAAGGAGGGAATTGACTATAATGAGGTATTTTCTCCAGTTGTGAAACACTCCTCCATTAGAGTTTTGTTGGCTTTGGTAGCACAGTCGAATATGGAACTAGTTCAGTTGGATGTAAAAACTGCATCTTTACATGGAGACTTGGAAGAGGAAATCTACATGACTCAGCCAGAAGGATTCAAAGTTGATGGAAAAGAAAATATGGTGTGCAAACTTGAAAAATTGTTGTATGGATTGAAACAATCTTTTAGACAATGGTACAAATGATTTGACAAGTTTATGTTGCAGCAAAGGTACATAAGATGCAAATACGATCATTGTGTGTATTTGCGCTAGCTTGAAGACGATTCCTTTATATATCTTCTCCTATATGTTGATGATATGTTGATAGCTTCTAAAAGTCAAGAGGAAATTGAGAAGCTAAAGATTCAACTAAAAAAGGAGTTTGAGATGAAGGATTTGGGTGAGGCAAAGAGGATTCTTGGCATGGAGATAAAAAGAAATCGACATTCAAAGAAGCTTTTTTTTTTATCTCAGAAAGAATATTTGAAGACGGTACTAAATCAATTTGGCATGAATGAGAAAATGAAGTCGGTTAGCACTCTACTTGCTCCTCATTTTAAGCTTAGTGATGCTATGTCGCCAAAGAATGAAGTTGCACGAGAATATATGTCAAGAGTACCATATGCGAATGTTGTTGGTAGCTTGATGTATGCAATGGTTTGCACAAGGCCAATTATTTCACACGTTGTTGGAGTTGTAAGCAGGTAGATGCATAATCCTGGAAAGGATCATTAGCAGGCTGTAAAATGGATTCTACGGTATATTCATAATACTGTAGATATTGGCTTGGTTTATGAGCATAAAGATAGTCAATATCTTGTTGGATATTGTGACTCAGATTATGCAGGTGATTTGGACAAACGAAGATCAACTACTGGTTATGTTTTCACTATTGCAAACGCACCAGTTAGTTGGAAGTCTACTTTACAGTCAACAGTTGCTTTGTCTACCACTGAGGCAGAGTATATGGCAACTACAGAGGCTGCGAAGGAGGCAATTTGGCTTCAAGGATTGCTTAGAGAGCTTGGATTGGACAAGAAGGAATCACAATATTTTGTGATAGTCAAAGTGCATTCAATTAGCAAAGAACCAAGTTTATCATGCAAGGACGAAGCACATTGATGTCCGATATCATTTCATACGAGATATCATAGAAGAAGGTGGAGTCACAGTGCAGAAAATTCATACTACGGACAATCTTGTTGATATGCTGACAAAGGTGGTGACTGCGGTCAAGTTTCAACATTGTTTGAACTTGATCAACATTGTTGAACATTGAAGATTGAGGTTGAAGAAACAATCAAAATTTGTTGAGAGAAAGTTGAAAATGGAGAATCTTGCCAAGGTGGAGATTTGCTAAATTTGACAAGATTCAAAGATGAATTAATGTGAAGATTTGGTAGTTAGGAAGATAATTCTTCATTGGTACAAAAGTCAAGATAACATCTTTTGTACGTGAAATTTAGGTGAACCATAAAATGGTTTCACAAGGTAAATCTTGACATTTTGACACATTGTGATGTCATGGATGACATCAATAGGAAGAATTCACTCCTATAAATAGGTAGTTCCTAATTCATTTGTAACACACCTCTCACTTGCCTTCTCATCTTCAAAGGCATTTGATCTTCTTTCTCTCTTGTAGTATTTCACTTGTACTCTTTTGGAGTGAAATAAATATTGGTTGGTTGTATCCGAGGAGTAGGCAAAAGAAAACAAAAGTTTGCCGAACCTCGTTAATTCCTAGTGTTCTTTTTATTGTTGTCTCATCTACTATTTATTAGCTACCTTTAGATATAGCATTTGTGATTTCATTACACGCTCTATATATTCGGCTTCCGCAACACCCATCTCACTGCCTTCCAGTGAATCTATGGCTTATAATTCTTCAACATGTGTATTATTCCATTCCATTCACTAGGCAGTGTTATCCACGGGTATTTCGTTTTCACCAATCGATGCACAACTACTCGTTGTTGCTGATGCATATTCATAGGAGACTTCTTTTCCATGCCTTTTGTTGTTTCTCCTTTTTCATAGTTCCCACATCAGTAAGTGTGGAATGGCCCTGTATACGTATCTCAATTTAGTTGGGGCAGGTTCGAACCACCATTTATGTGCAGTTTGCTGTAATTGTTGTCCTCCCTTATGGATACCTGCACAAGTAGCAAAAAATCCCCATAGCTTTTGGGCTATTGGGGATGTTAGAAATAGGTGAGACATGGTCTCCTGCACATAAGTTTCACAACAATAACATCTTGAAGCCAGCGATACCCTTATATTTCTTAGATTGTCCTCCGTTGCAATTCTCCTCTTTGCGACCCTCCATAGGAAAAAAATGATTTTGAATGGAATTTCTTGGAGCCAAATGTTCTCCAACCAGTCTTGTTGAGGTTTTTGATCCCTTACTATTTCAAAAGCAGACTTGGACCGAAAAAATTCCACTAGTATTAGGAATCCACCATGGCTGATCAACTTCATCTTGCCTCACATTCAACTTTATATTCTTGATTATTTGAACCACTACCTCTTCTGACACCAACTCACATAGCTTCTCTTTATCCCATTCTCCATTGTTGATACACATTTGTACCTCTATATCTTCATCACCGTCTTCCATATCATTGGTTAGATACAACGCTCCTTTTCTTGTCCAATTATCGTACCAAAAACTAGAGTTTCCAGACTTAATTTGCCACCCTATCCCTTGTTCTACCTCTTCCCTCATCTCCATAATCTTTTTCCATACATGTGAAGCACCTCTCGCCCCAGCTATAACTGGATGTTGTTTCTTGCAATATTTATTCCACATATATGTGCTCCACAATGAATCAGTTGAAACTCTAAATCTCCACCATAACTTGCTAAATAATGCCTTTGTTACTCCATGCAGTGTTCGAAAACCTACTCCACCCTCTTTTTTTGGAAAACAAATGTCTTCCCACGCTACCCAGTGTTTCCTTCTCTCTCCCCTGTTTCCACTCCAGAAGAACTTTGCAAAATTGTGATGCAGCAGATTTATCACCCCTTTCGTGGGATTGATAGCTGATAGAAGGTATAATGGAATTGATTGTGACACATGAGTAATCAAGATGTGCCTCCCTCCATACGTTAGCAATTTATTCTGCCAACCTAATAATTTCTGCACAATTTTCCTCAGAATATTTTCATAATGTGAGTTGCATTTCTTTCCATAATACACTGGGAATCCAAGATAAGTGAATGGAACGGTACCCATTTTTATACTTGTTAATTTTCTCAACTTGATTCCCACTGCCAAGGTGTGTCCTCATGTAGATAAAAATAACTTTTCTCCTTATTTATTAATTGACCAGAGACTCTTTCATATTTCTTCAACACCTCCATCATTCTTCTTACTGAGTATCGATCGGTCGACCCAAACAATATCGTATCATCCGCATATGACAGATGATTGATCTCTGGACTCCACTTTGGCATTTCATAGCCCCTATATATTCTATCCTTATGAAGTTGGTTCAACCCTCTCGATAGGACCTCTGCAGCAATGATAAACATGGTGGGCGATAAAGGATCACCTTGTTTCAACCCTCTTGTTGATCTAAGAAATCCATGTGATATCCCATTCACTAGGATTGAATACCAATTATTTGATATTAATCGCCAAACCATGTCCACTATCTTTTACGAGAACCCAAATTTCCACAGCACCTTTGTAAGAAAAATCCACGACACTCTATCATACGCCTTTGCCATGTCCAGTTTTACCACCACATTGTGCTCTTTGCTACTCAATTTTATATCTCTAATTATTTCTTGGGCCAGAAGAACATTTCTTTCTTTCACAAAACCTGACTTGTTTCTCGAGATGATGAGTGGTAGACACTTTGTCAGCCTCTCATGTAACATTCTTGAAATTATTTTATTTACAAAGGTGCTCAGACTGATCGGCCTAAGATCTCCAAAAGTTTTGACTTTTTCCTTCTTTGGGATCAGTAGCAGATTCGTATGGGTAATGAATCTAGGCAATTGCTGACCACTAAAAAACGCCCTCACCATATTTTTTACATCCTCCTTAACAATATCCCAACATTCCTGAAAGAAATGACCCGAGAAACCATCCGAACAACTTGTACTATCTTTATTTAGCCCAAACACCACTTTTTTAACCTCTTCGCTACAAGGGGCCATAGTCATTTCATCATTCTGCTCTGGAATTATCAAATTTGGGATCACCTGTAACAGGCCATAATCTTCATTGCAACTATCTTCCCTGAATTGCTCTTCGAAGTAAACCATTGTCGCAGCCCCTAAGTAACATCATTTTTTTATTTCAATTTTTTTTAGGTGTTCTCATTAATTAAAATGTATGTCTCATCATTTATCTAATTTAGTATAGATTAAAAAAGGACATTTCGTATTACGTAAATATATTTCATATTCATATTTTACTATTTTAGTTATTCCATCTTTTATTTTACATACAAATATTTTTAATTATTAAATTTCATCGAAAATATTTTGTTTCATATAATTAAAAAGACATTATTGTTATTACTATTACTATTATTATTATTATTATTATTATTATTACTATTATTACTATTATTACTATTATTATTACCATTATTATTACTATTATTATTATTATTATTACGTATTTGCCAAAATAAAGTTTGCATTCCGCATTTCTTTTTCTTGGTTAAAAATCAGTTATACCCTCCAATTATACTTGAAACCCCTTTTATAAATGCTATTTATCCTTTCACCAATATAACGGCTAAGGGTTTTTCTGCTACTTACAAAGACCGAGATATTAGTTATACTTTTATCACTGATCCTATTTCTTGTGATATTAATGCTTTGATTAATATGAAACAAAAGCATGTTAATTCCTTACAATTTGAACCATGCCAATATGCTTATAAGATCGTTCAAGAACGTTGATGAAAAAAGGTAGATAAGTGGTTATAAACCAAGGTACAAAGAACATAATATGATTATGCAAAGCACAAGTCTTATAAAATTCTTGAGAAATATTATGCAAATCTTCCGTACTGTATGTGTCAAAAAACCAAGTTTTAAACTGGCTCCATTTATCACTTGCAAATTAATTTTGAATATATTTTCTTGCCAGTGAACCTGGAGTAAAATCAATCTGGTGTGCATCCATCATCAAGTATCATTAAGGTTGAAATCCATTTTGGATGCAGAAGGAATATCCTTATCAGAAATATCAGATGATTTATCATTTGATCTAACAATATTTAATCGAGGATCAATTTTAATTTTATTTTTATCTGCAGATATAACAGAAGATAATGTATGCAGAGAGGCAACACGATTTCGAGGAGGACCATATAACGAATATGAGATTGATGTGAATTATTTTGGCATAGATATATTCTCTTAATCATGGATTTAGGAGATACTTGTACTAAAAGTACTCGATTGGAAGAGGTAGATATACCTCAAAACCTTGATTTGTTAAACAAATGGACTATTCCAAAAATTATGAATGATATTTTCAACCCATATTTGGACTTCATCATTGTTTATATTGATGATATTTTGGTTTATTCAAAGACTCTTGAAATGCATATTAAATATTTAGACATTTTCAAGAAAATAGTTATACAAAACGATTTGGTGATTTCTAAACCAAAAATGAGTCTATTTCAAACTGAAGTCAGGTTTTTAGGACATCTTATTTGTAAGGGGAAGGTTACCCCTATTCAAAGATTGATTGATTTTGCTTCTAAATTTCCTGATGTCATTACAGACATGATGCAATTGCAGAGATTCTAGGGAAGTTTAAATTATATTTCCCCCTTTTACAAGAATTTATCTCGTGATTTAGCCCCATTATACGACAGGCTAAAGAAGTATCATAAAGCACCTTGGACTGATAGTCTCACCAATTTGGTAAAGAATATTTAACAGTGTGTTCAATCTTTACCTTGTTTAACTCTTGCTAACCCTGCTTGGTAGAAGATAGTCGAGACAGATGCGTCTAATATTAGGTATGGAGGAATTTTGAAACAAATCAATCCTCATGATAAAACTGAATATTTAATTTGATTTCATTTCGGAAAGTGGAGCAATGCTCAGAAGAAGTATGCTACAGTGGCACATGAAATGTTAACCATCGTTAAATGTGTATTGAAATTTCAAGATGACTTATATAATCAAAAGTTTTTAATAAAAATGGATCCACAATCTGTGAAATATATGTTTGATAAAGATTTCAAACATGATGCATCGAAGTTGATATTCGCCAGGTGGCAAGCACAGTTAGCCCCCTTTGATTTTGAAATCCATTTCGGATGCAGAAGGAATATCCTTATCAAAAATATGTTGTATAGCAAGCGATCGTTGGTATCAGAGCTAGGAACTTTCATGGCAAATACGAGTATTAGGAAATTTATACTTTATACCTAAAGCATGTCCAGAAGCAAATTTGACCATATGAGTAGTTTTCTCAAAATATTTGGTAGTTATAAGACCTTCCTGAATACAACTCACATCAACTCCACTGTCAATCATGGCAATATTATTTATAGAGAAAGTATTATCAATCAATATGGTGCATTTAACATACCATTTATGAGCAGTAACAATTTGCATCATTCTTAAAAACATATCTTGTCTAGGATCAAGTTTAATAGGTTTTGCAAGAGTATTTTCTTCAGCAATATTCTTACCTTTGTTATTAGCAGACTCAATCTGAGTAAGGTTGTGACCACAAATAATTTGATTTTGTTTAAGAGATTTAATCTCTTGCTTCAATTGTTCAATCTCTTCTTTTAAATCATCAAAAGAAGTATCACGTATAACAACATGCTGTCTAGAAAGTCTATTATTGACCTCAGATAAAGAATAAGGAGTAGAATATTCAAACTCATTTTTCGATTTTTCAACAACATTAGAAGAACTAGCCTTATTATTGCCAGCAAGCTGAATAATCTTTTCACGTAACGTATTATCAGTAACTTCTTTTAAAAATTCTATCACATTATCAGAAGTAATAGTATAAATATTCAAATCTTCAAATTGAGATTGTAATTTATAAAATTCATCATTTTCACAAGAGCAAATATCACCTCTACACTTGCAAGCATCTATAGTAGCTGGCTGGTTATTACCAGAGGATTCAGGTTGATCAATTTCAGAACCTGATTCATAATCGTCATCGTCATAATTGGACTCAGAACCAGAGGTGTACAAGAAACTATAGATTCTCTCATGAATTTCTTCATCTAGCTCTAGGGTTTTAAGCTTTTCAAGCTTACAATTTGGTGCTATATGCCCAAATTTTCCACACTTGTAGCACTTGATCTTAGCAAGTTCGCGTCTAGACCGATTCTTCGTAAATCGATTTGATTTACGATGAGCTCTTCGCTCTTCCCGTTCTTTCCTAGATCATCGTCTAGACCTTTTTCTTATATAAGGTTTATCGGGATTAGAGTCTCTAGAATCTCTATGTTTGGTCTGCTTACCTGAATCTGGTAAACCAAACTGGGTGCAGAAGTCTCCTAACTGAGATCTTTCTCTAAGCTTATCAATCTTAAGCTGCCTAGAGAGCTTTAATTCATTGCACAAATTAATACCTTCTTGAGTGCAGGCTCCTATCAACTTTCCATAAGTGTAAGTGTCGTAGGGAATGGCCCCTTGCGCATTCCTAAGAGTTTTTCTAACTCTTTCGGCAAATAAGGGAGGAAGGCCGTCTATAAACTTAGCTTTCCAATGCTCAAGACCATTTTCGGGAAGCTCCATTACTCCACTCATATAAGTATCTTTATACCAACGAAATTCTCCTAAGTGTCTACATCGTAGACCATTTGACAGGGAACGAGTAGCTTCATATTGATTGGTAAATCTACCATTAAAATGTTCGAGAATAGTCAAGACCAGAGTATAAACAGCGTCTTCTCTATTTTTTACTAAGGCAAATCCTAGGTTATCAACACCTTCATTAGCAGCTTTAGCATTAATTACAGCGGCTTTCGCCTCAGTGCTCATATAATTATCTCACCAGCCTCTAAGTGTTCCAGTAAAACCTGCAATTATCATCTTGCAAATAGTGCTATCGGTGTTATTAACACTGTTAGAAATAGTAGCATACATAAGCATTTTATGAACAAGTATAGTTAATTGCCTATCAGTTAAACCGTCAAGATTCCATTCATAAATCTCACTTCCACTATAAGAAGTATTAGTTTGGTTCCAATCACATTCCTCTATCAGAACATCTTGAGG